TTCTGTGAAATCCTCGCTCGGAGCTATGAGTCGTCAAAGTTTTCGCAATGTTAAGTCTATGGGATTTTTCGACCGCTTTTTCGCCCCTGGGGCGACCATCGTACCCCCGATCGCTTATAAAAGTCATAGCACACCTCTCCTCAATAGGCCGCCCGTTTTGATGCCTCATTCGTGGGTCTGTGACAAAAGCTGCGGGAGGAGTAGCGCGTCAAACTTTTTGGCGGACTTGAAAAAAGCAATAGTAATAGTGTTGCCTTGCTTTCAGCTCAAGCACCACTAATTAACACAACCCTACACCAAAGTAGCACAACACTTCAGATCATTTGCAGAATGGAACACTTTTGTCAAAACTATTCAATGTCTTATAAAAACCTTATTTTGTTGTCATAACATAAACACAACCATCATATGGTTTGACTCTGTTTGAATCAGTTAAACACTCCTGGGCTCAACCTAAAACACTTTTAGCATTTACAGAGAAAGTGTAAAAATAAATTCACCAACACCACATGACACAAATTTTGCAGACTAATGAAAATATTTATTTCTTTTCATGTACTCAAGTCAGTCAATTCTGAACATTTCAACAAAAAAACATTTTCCAGTTTTCATACAGTATTACTGAACGTACCATTGTACTGTAAGCTTACAGTAATACTGTAACAAATTACATATCCAGTTCAGTACTAAACATCTCTCCGCCTAGCTGGTTCTGGCCACAGGGCCTCGTCAACATCACAGGCTGTATTTTCATTTGCAAGGCAACGTGGGAAGAATCTTTTCGAGTGACGAATCCATCCTTGTATGGATGCTGCTTCAATTTGATCACAGGCTTCCTCCATAGCTTGAATGAGGGGCATCTGGACATAGGGCCGGAGATCATAAACCTTCCACCGCCATGTTGAGAAGAACTCCTCGATGGGGTTTAGGAAGGGGGAGTATGGTGGAAGATACTGAACCGTAAATTGTGGGTGTTGATGAAACCAGTTTTGGACCAGAGCAGAACGATGGAAAGCTACATTGTCTCAGATGACAATGTATTGCATCTGGTCCCTTTGGTTTGCTGCTGTGATAATATCGTGTAATCTGTCTAAAAATGTAAGAATGAGGACAGTGTTGTAAGGACCCAAGTTGGCATGGCGGTGGATGACCCCATTCTGTGTAATGGCAGCACAAAGGGTAATGTTACCCCCACGTTGCCCTGGTACATTGACAATAGCCCTGTGGCCAATGATGTTTCTTCCCCTTCTTCGCACTGAATTTCTTTCAAATGGCACTTTATACAGTTGTTTCATCAGAACTTGATGTTTTTTAAGGATACGGGCTATTGTTGACAGAGAGACCTGTTGGACATTAGTGAAAATGAGGTGATCATTGACAATATGGGCTTGAATTTCTCGAAGTCTGATTGCATTATTGGCCAAAACGAGGTTTATGATCTCTCTCTCTTGCTCCTGTGTGAATATGGGGCCCCTCCCTCCTTGGTGCTCACGACGTTCAATCCTATGTTTGCCAAACAAAATACATAGCTTACTGTAAAATGATACATGCAGTAACCAATGGATTTTCTGTTGATTGAAGAGAAGTTTCTCACCTGTGCTCTTGACGAAATGTCAATTGTTGCATGAATTTTGTTACACAGATTTGGTTGTCTTCTTCTTTGTGCATGTCCTACCACTCCTCCAGGTCTTCCTCTTCCTCTTCCACCTCCACCTCCACCTTGTTCTCTCCGGATTCCCCCTCTCATCCGCATTCTCCCTCTTCCTCTTCCACCTCCACCTCCACCTTCACCTTGTTCTCTCCGGATTCCCCCTCTCATCCGCACTCTCCCTCTTCCTCTTCCTCTTCCACCTCCACCTCCACCTTCACCTTGTTCTCTCCGGATTCCCCCTCTCATCCGCACTCTCCCTCTTCCTCTTCCTCTGACACCGTCCATTTTTTAACTTACCTGTTCCCTTTTTACAGTACTTAAACCTGAATGGTGTGTCTACAATTAAGCACCAGTGTGTGTGCACACCTGGTGGCTGTGTTTAACCAATTGGTTCATGGGTGTGTTCATTTGATAGCCTTTGCTTTGAAATTGCAAGGAAATTACATCATGATAAATGTATGTGTCAAATGCATACAAGTGTGTTTAGTGTTTTGCAAATCACTGTGTGTAATGTTTAGCAAAAAGTGTGAAGCTGACAATGTGCTTACAGTTGTGCAAATCTAGGCCGGTTTTTTGCTCCTTGAGTGTAAGGTTTTGCTAATTGTGGGAAAGTTCTAATTTTAGTGTGTAAGCAATCGAAAAAAAACTGTAATGTAGAAATATAGCAAAATACTGTCTTATTCATTTGTGTATTATGTTTTCAACAGTTTTGAAAAGAGTATATAAACATGCAAATTAAAAGATGTAATCATCGAATGCATTTTGTGTCAAAGCAATGATAAATGATCCAAAGTGTAGCCCACATAGACTGCTGTTGTGCTCACTGCACACTGTGTGAAGAGTTTTGAAAAAGTGAGCTATTGAGAAATGGGTCCTGGCTATTGTAAAAACAAAACTCAAGCAATGGAGTTCTGCACTGGAAATGATTTGTTTTTTAGGATAAACTGCAGAAAGAAGAGAAGAAAACCTCTCGTAATGTGGCCAAGCTGCGGCAGCAGTGGCGTGCTATTTCAACACAGGCCGAGACAGCAGAGCTACGCGATGACATCTCAGTCCTCAGCCAGAGCTTTGAGAAAGTCCTCGACTGCAAAGACAAAATCATTAAGGTGACTGTATATAATATATAGACTTGACTCTCAGTTTTAAATTCTATAGCTTTCATTACAGAGTCTGGGAGTAACAAACGTGTGTGTGTGTGTGTGTGTGTGTGTGTGTGTGTGTGTGTGTGTGTTTTACAGAGTTTGGTGGATGATCTGTCTGAGAGGGCGCAGCGGTCAGAGCGGGCGCGCAGTTCTCATCTGCAGAACGTGGACTGTCTGTTAAAGCTTCATAAGAGTCGGCTGGCAGAACTAGCGTCCAACTTCAACACCAGTGTCGGAGAACTTAGCTCAGAGTATAATACTGAGAGGTAAACACACAAACAATCACACGAAAGGAAGGGTTTTGTTTTCAAGGGAGTGAATTTGGCCAGTTTGCCAGTTCCTGACTATTTAAATCGGGTCATTCCTTTTAGGATATACCTTTTAACTTTAGAAAATGACAATGCTTTGGTTGTAAAGAAACAAATTCATATAAAATGGTATACCAAACTTTCAGAAATAAATTCAGGTCAAGCTTGGGCACTTTTTAATTATATCTTTATTATTTATGCAATGACAAGAAGGTTAGGTAACACTTTTATTTTAATAGTCCGCTTTAAACATTCTATATACTATAAATGTAAGTATCTTTGCAACTATGTCAACTAGCAGTCATTAGAGTAGACTGTCTGCTTCACAGATATACATAAATGCCCCATTAGCGGCCATTTCAGTGGGCCACTATACGTAAGCCGTCCGCCATACTGGAACGGTCAAAACCAGTCTGTGAATGTTCACCATTCGAGAGCAAGTTGACTGCAACCATAGTTAGACGCAGTTAGAGTCACTTTGCAAGTACATGTTAACATATTGTACTAACCCTAATAGTCTATGAGAGAGAGTTATTTGAAATGTAGTGCAAATTAATTAGAGATAGTAGAATGTCTAAAGTGGACTATCATAATAAACTTTAACCACAAGGTTAACAACAGGATTGAACCCAGCTCTAAAAAAGAAGTAAACTCGAGGGTGTCAGCTTGAAGTTCATTTCAATGTTGTTGTTGAATTTGTATATTTTTCTGATTATCTATTGAAATATTGATATTATCATGAGGATTTATGAAATTTAATACAAGAAACTCCAACTAATACCAACACTGCTTAATTCACAAGAGTATTAATAACAATGATGTTTTCCCACCAAAAGTGATGTCATGAACAGGATTTCACACAAAAAATGGTATAATATTCTAAACAAAAAGATCTATATGGGGACATGAAAATGCACTGCGAAGGATTGAGCCGATGTAGCATCATCTGTATGTTATTTCTTTTCAATTCCAGGGAGCAGATTCTTTCACAGCACCAGCAGGAGAGTGTGGATTTGGAGAATGAAATGTTTCACATGGAAAAGCACTACGCTGATATAGACAATGAGGCGAGACGTGACTACGAGGTTAATGTCCATCAAATTAAACAGCAGGTACTGATTTGATTATGTTTCTATTTATTCATTTGGCAGATGCTGTTATCCAAAATGACTTACAAATGAGGAACATCACAATTTGTCATAGTGCCGTATTCATGGGTTTAGTAAAAACTAGAATTAGTCAACAAGTTAAGTCAAGCAAAGGTAAAATACAAAAAAGAAGAAAAAGAGAATATTTTTTAAAAATATAATAGAGTAAATGTCTTGGTTTACAAAATCATAATTATTGCATTAACCTAAAATATGCAGTGCAATTCAAATATAAATAAATCACGGATTACAAAAATACAGATTACACAAATATACAAATGTATGTAGGAGTTTACATGTGTACACTATACTACTTATCAAAAGTTTGGAAGAATAAAGATTTTTTTCTTCAAATGTTTTTGATAGAAGTCTTTAATGATCACCAATGGAGCAGAGGTAAGGGAGCACACTGACCAAGGCGGCCAGACAGAGTTTAGAGTTTTGAAAATGTGACTACAGATTGGACAAAAGGATGTTAGCAGTTGGGGAAAAAACATCATATAATAATATGTTGTTGGTTTTATTTTTGCAGAACAAAGAGAAACATCAAACAGTGAAAGCTCAGATGAAAAGGGTTATGGATATGCAGCAGTTCATGGATGAAGTTTTGGTCTCTGGTGAGAGTTTTCAGCAACAAAAGCTTCCGGTGGAGTCTTCTTCTTCAACTCTACAGACCCCCGCTGCCACTGAGAGACGCGCTCAAAAGCGCCATGTGCTCAAAAAAAAGCGCTAAGCAGCGAATATTGTGCAGAAACAGCTTGTGAAAAGTGTGTTTTTTGGAAGCAATTAAAATGTTTTATGCCTCTGGCATGCAGTCGGTGAATCTGTTTAATGCAATGATCTCAGTATATTTTTTATTAAATTTAGGATTTTAGGACACTTCCTCAAATCCCACAGCCTTTTCTTACAACTTTATATTAACTGGTGCAATTATGTAAATGTGTTGACCGATGCTGTTTCATCACCTCAAGATGCCGCCAAATCATTGAAGATTGTCCTTTATACATCTGGAAAACAGGTCGATGCATTTTAGAATGAAAGGTGAAGTTGAAAATAGACTACATTTTTGAATTATTTGAAGACATTTTGCATCTTGTCATTTAATAACAAATAAGCTCAGCTATAACTATAAGCTCTATCTCTCATGATGCGTGATGTCTTTAATAAAGACTTGCTGTATTAATCTAGTACAAAACAGGGCAACAAATAACATGAAGCTATGTTTTATGGAACGTGTTAATAATGCATAATATTATTATGGAATCTTCTGGCCAAAGAAACGCATCAAAATACTGAAATGTTTTATTTTGCACTGTAATAATAAAAATCAAGGCAACATGAATAGTTTTTTTTTTAATCTCAAAATGTCGTCAGTAATTTGTTATTTAGCCAACTTGCAAAACTGTTGTCGGCTGTTTTTTTAGTGAGAAACAAATCCTCAACCTCAACATTACCTGTATCATTTATGCATGTCGCAATGCATGCTGGGAACACACACACACTCAAACACAGACCTCTTTACACAACAGCAATGTTGTTCAATATAAAATGCTCAGCACAGTCTATCCTTTCCAAACGGTTGAAGACAATGCTGTAAGATCGGCTGACTCTTGAAAATCTCCCAACCTTTTAAAGCTGTTTGACCTTTAACCCTTCCTCTCCGCTGCTTGCTGATAATGCTGGACTGGTCACCTGGAGGAGAACACTCTTTCAAGAGCAGAGAAAGTCAGAATTACCCTACGTTTTGAGAGGCAGTATGTAGTGCTTAGTACTTGATTTAATTTTGGCCAGCAGAAAGACCTTTCACCTGCAAGACATGAAGTATCACATTATCTCGACATTATCTCGATCATTTTAAAAAGCGACTTGAATTGGACTCAAGGTAAACATTTGTGTCAGTCCATGCATTCCTTGAGAATGATGCATGTACGATTCACTTCTGAGACACACACTAATGTACCTAGCTAACAAAAATATGAATGTTTTGCTAACATTCTTATTAAGTTATGAAAACGTTATTTCTGAAAATTGTCTTGGTTATAATAACGTTAAGGGAACATTCTGAAACAAGTATTAACATAAAACACGTTAGTCAAACGTGTAAATGTTTCAGAAAAAAAACCTTCCATGAACAATTACTGGTATAACTTTTTTTGTGCTAACATTGTGAGAACGTTATTAAAGCCCACATAACTCTGAACGAACGCTCTATTTGCGTGACTGGAAGAACGTTTGTCCATAACTTGGAGAGAACCTCGCCAGAACGTTAGCCAAGTTAGCTGGGTCATAAGGGCAGTGTTATTTGCATCACACATACTGAGGCAATTACACAATGAAAGCAACAGTAGTTCATTTTTAATCAACAAATAAAGACAAAACTCACTGATTTGGATATTCACTCCTAATCAGTGGTGTGCACAGACCTCCTCAGGGGCGGAGGGACCAAAAAGGGCACTACATTTTTATTTAATTTAATTTAACAGTACCTGCATTTTATTCTCTCTTTTCAGCCAACTTGTGAGAGGGATGCTTCCTTTGCCTGCATCAGAGAGTTCCTTGATTTTTTATTTTATTTTATTATTTCTTTCTTTGGCATTCTAAGAAAATATGTTGATACAATTATTAGAATGCATAACACATCAAATGAGAATAGGGAAATGATGATGATAATATTACTTAATATTATTTACTTTACCAAACAAAACAGTGAGAATAAAGAAGGTAATTTATTTTTAGTTTTGTTGATGTTGTAAATTTAATGCATGTATTATATGTATGAAAGACAGTGTTAGCTATCATGAATCAGTAACACTTTACAATAAGGTTTCATTAGTTAAATTAGTTAACATTAGCTAATAAAGAACTGCACTTCTACAGCATTTATTAATCTTAGTTAATATTAATTTCAGCATTTACTAAAACATTAAAATCAAAAGTTGTATTTGTTATCATAGTTAATGCACTGACTGTGACATAACATGAATAAACAATTAACAGTTCAGTTGTATTATACAGTAACAAATGTGTTGCTCGTGGTTAGTTCACACACACACACCCAAGGCGATTCATACGTGAATGACGATTTGCACTGTAAGGGGTATACAGTCAAAGACCCAGAACCAGATATGAAGAATGAAGACCCGGAGTCAGAATTATAAAAAATTAAAGAAAAGTTTTACTGAAGATAGGTTGCAGTTTCATCAGCAGAAGTCAGCTTCAAGACTCACACAGGAGTTCGTAGGCCGCCCCGCTTACAGTTACAAAGATCACAGCAGTTATACCATTTCCAAGGTCTAAGCTACGTCATTACTTCAGGTTGAATGATTCTCATTGGCTAAGAAACATGAGAGCCTAAGCAATTTAACACATGTGAGGAGATAGGGGTGCCTATCGCCATTAGTCAAAAGATAGTTGTCGTCCACTCATTAGATTTAGGTCTGTGGTGGCCTCGCAGGTTAGAGAAGGGCGCCGGGGTGTCTGGTCCGAACGTCCAGAACCTACATAGAATGTCATACGCACACACACACACACACACAAATAACAGACACTAGCAAATAACAGCTCCCATCAAGGCTGAAGAGAGTCTGAGCTCCTTATTATCAGTTAAGTATACCAAAACATAATGCTAAAACATTCACTCGTTTGGGAGAAAAACAGATAACTGGCATTTACTCCCAAGGAAGGAAATATACTGGAAAGAATACATTTTAATACAACAATTAAAGGTCGATAGTAACGCTCAATATAGCTTGACCATATGTCCAAGGAAGAATCATATGTGTCCACGCTGCCTTTAGGACCCTCTACTGATCCCAGAGAAAGAGACAAACGGCCTTGTGGGTTACGTGGCCTTCGTGTCCTGCGTGCAATCTCAAAGTAAGATTGAAATGCACCTAAAAGAAACTGGTTACTAATACTTACACCACATGCATTTAAGAAAATATAATTTCACAAGCACAAAGAATATAAAAATGATTATGTGATAATGAATATATTTGATTATTGATTTTTATAAAGGAAGTATATAAGCATTCAAAAGGATATATGATTATAGATGTATTTGAAGAGGCAAGGGATTTTGACCAACCCTTCAGAGTGTACATGAGTACAGTCCAGCGTTCGAGAACTCGCATGTGCACTAATTCCAGTGTGAGGCTGGTTGGGTCTTGGGTGATCACAATGAGGGTGTCGGGGGCTTCTGGGTAAGCTGCCCACGCATCCCATGCAGTTTTTTTGCCAATTCCATACATTGCTGATACAACGTCACATCCTTTGAACGCATGGAAGAGGGGCAGTGCTTGTGCAAGGGTGAGGGAGGCTGTACTAATAATGATGAAGAGTGATTTTTTTTTATAAATACATGATGTTTAAGTATGTATTGTATTTTTGTGTTATTTGACTGATCAAAATGTAATATTGATCCTTAACATGGTGAAAAGCCTAATATAACTTTTCACTGTGGCATAGTTCTGAATTTGTGTTCATTTAAAGCCTCAACAATGGTCCTTTTGGTCACAACATGTGATTTTTGACACTATAGTGATAGTGACCTGTCCAATCAACAAAGAAAAGCATACATTGGAGGTAAAAAATATGGGTCTAGAGGCCGGAATAATATTTCAATGTGACTTTTTCCGAGATATTGACAGTTTATTTGCGCTAAATATGACTATGATAATAGATTTAACAAGGAAATGGACTTAAAATAAGAAGAATATATCAGAATTGGATTCCTTGTATCAAACAAAGTAGAAAAAAATACATTATACAACAATTTAAGACTAAAGGAAGCTGAGATATAACCTTTTCTCTTTTCGGCGGGGGCCAATTTGGATTTTATGGATAACTGCCACTAGGGGGACCACCCCAACTTGTATCCATGGATTTTTGAAAACCACATTTGATTTTTTTTGCAATGACAAGAAGGTTAGGTAACACTTTTATTTTAATAGTCCGCTTTAAACATTCTATATACTATAAATGTAAGTATCTTTGCAACTATGTCAACTAGCAGTCATTAGAGTAGACTGTCTGCTTCACAGATATACATAAATGCCCCATTAGCGGCCATTTCAGTGGGCCACTATACGTAAGCCGTCCGCCATACTGGAACGGTCAAAACCAGTCTGTGAATGTTCACCATTCGAGAGCAAGTTGACTGCAACCATAGTTAGACGCAGTTAGAGTAACTTTGCAAGTACATGTTAACATATTGTACTAACCCTAATAGTCTATGAGAGAGAGTTATTTGAAATGTAGTGCAATTAATTAGAGATAGTAGAATGTCTAAAGTGGACTATCATAATAAACTTTAACCACAAGGTTAACAACAGGATTGAACCCAGCTCTAAAAAAGAAGTAAACTCGAGGGTGTCAGCTTGAAGTTCATTTCAATGTTGTTGTTGAATTTGTATATTTTTCTGATTATCTATTGAAATATTGATATTATCATGAGGATTTATGAAATTTAATACAAGAAACTCCAACTAATACCAACACTGCTTAATTCACAAGAGCATTAATAACAATGATGTTTTCCCACCAAAAGTGATGTCATGAACAGGATTTCACACAAAAAATGGTATAATATTCTAAACAAAAAGATCTATATGGGGACATGAAAATGCACTGCGAAGGATTGAGCCGATGTAGCATCATCTGTATGTTATTTCTTTTCAATTCCAGGGAGCAGATTCTTTCACAGCACCAGCAGGAGAGTGTGGATTTGGAGAATGAAATGTTTCACATGGAAAAGCACTACGCTGATATAGACAATGAGGCGAGACGTGACTACGAGGTTAATGTCCATCAAATTAAACAGCAGGTACTGATTTGATTATGTTTCTATTTATTCATTTGGCAGATGCTGTTATCCAAAATGACTTACAAATGAGGAACATCACAATTTGTCATAGTGCCGTATTCATGGGTTTAGTAAAAACTAGAATTAGTCAACAAGTTAAGTCAAGCAAAGGTAAAATACCAAAAAGAAGAAAAAGAGAATATTTTTTAAAAATGTAATAGAGTAAATGTCTTGGTTTACAAAATCATAATTATTGCATTAACCTAAAATATGCAGTGCAATTCAAATATAAATAAATCACGGATTACAAAAATACAGATTACACAAATATACAAATGTATGTAGGAGTTTACATGTGTACACTATACTACTTATCAAAAGTTTGGAAGAATAAAGATTTTTTTCTTCAAATGTTTTTGATAGAAGTCTTTAATGATCACCAATGGAGCAGAGGTAAGGGAGCACACTGACCAAGGCGGCCAGACAGAGTTTAGAGTTTTGAAAATGTGACTACAGATTGGACAAAAGGATGTTAGCAGTTGGGGAAAAAACATCATATAATATGTTGTTGGTTTTATTTTTGCAGAACAAAGAGAAACATCAAACAGTGAAAGCTCAGATGAAAAGGGTTATGGATATGCAGCAGTTCATGGATGAAGTTTTGGTCTCTGGTGAGAGTTTTCAGCAACAAAAGCTTCCGGTGGCGTCTTCTTCTTCAACTCTACAGACCCCCGCTGCCACTGAGAGACGCGCTCAAAAGCGCCATGTGCTCAAAAAAAAGCGCTAAGCAGCGAATATTGTGCAGAAACAGCTTGTGAAAAGTGTGTTTTTTGGAAGCAATTAAAATGTTTTATGCCTCTGGCATGATATACCTCAAAAGGAAAGTCGCCCTTATCATTATCCATCTTTAATTGACCCAACTTTAGAAGACATCAAATCACGCCTATTATTATTTAGCGATGATATACCTCAGAAGGAAAGTTGCGTATCTGAAAGAGAGCTGAAGGCAGGAAATAATAGTTTCAGTCGCCCTGATTATTATCCATCGTTAATTGACCCAACTTTAAACTACATCAAACCACGCCTCAGAAAAAAGCAGACTTTGGATACGTGGTAAGATATAAAAATACATGTCTTTATGACACAAAGCGATAAAGCTACTGTGATGATCATCAGTGGCTATTATAATTTTATGGATTGAGTGACCTCTTGATAATCTCACTCTTGCTTTCTCTGTTTCACAGTGACCGTGAAAGGCTAGAAGCTGAAAGGCTAGTGCTGAAAGAGAAATTGAATCAGTTTCCAGTGAACATAGTAAGTGGCACACAGAACCAGCACTACTTCTCCCGTACTTTTGTCTTGCTCATTAAATATTTTAATATGGATCAATAGTGTGATGCTGACTTAAAAATCACATCTCTATTGCAGACAAGGCAATATCGGAAAAAGCC